AATTGGTTTCCCTTGTCTTTGTTGAAGAGGGTCTGTGCAGTCCTTCTGCCTAGTCCACCATCTTGCCGGAACTCTTGAAATGATTTTCTTGACTTTTTACATCAGTAGTTGTATATAATATTTGTCCTGTTGTGACAGATTAATTTCACTCAGCATAACAGCCTCTAAGTTCATCCACGTTATGTTTTGCAGAGTCATCATTGTTCTTTATTGTTGTCAAGTATTCGATCATGTGTATGTACCACAGTTTGTTGATTCATTCCTCCACTGATGGGCATTTGGGTTATTTCCACCTTTTTGTGATTGTGAATAGTGCTGTGATTAACATGGGTGTTTGTGTTATGGCTCTTATCTCTCTAGGATATATACACAATAGGAGTGGTGATAAAGGGCATCCTTGTCTGATACTCGTTCTTAAGGGAAATGCTTTCAGTCTCTCCCTGTTGGGAATAAACTTAGCCATTGATTTTGTATATATGTCCTTAGTTACGCTGAGGTAATTCTCTTCTATTCCTATTTTGTTCAGTGTTTTGACCAAGAGTGGGTTATCATTAAAGATTTTAACAGAAAGGATACAATTAAATCTGTGTTGCAGAAAAATACCTCTGGTAGAAATATGGAGAATGGGTTGGAAAGAGATAAGGATGAGGCAAAATATTCTAAATTACAAAATGCTAAGCAAGTTATAGGAGCTCTGGTGGTGTAGTGCTTAAGGCATCTGACTGCTAACCAGAAAGCTAGAGGTTTACACTCACCAGCTACTCCTTGGAAGAAAGACTGGGCAATCTACTTCCATAGAGATACCACCTTGGAATCACAAGGAGGGGTTGCTATGAGTCGGAATTGACTCAACAGCAGGGAGTTTTTAGACAAGTTATCTTAATTGTTAATACTTTTCTAAGACAGCTTGTGGAAGTCTAACTTTACTACCATCCTAGGTAACTTGGCAGAATGAAAGGTAACATATATTTCACAATTGTATATATAATTATATATATATAATAAACTGTTTTTGTCCATTTTGAATCAGATAACCATATGATCTACTATGCCACAAATGACAATTTGAAGAGTTTGGCGTGGCACTCATCATCATAAAGCATGTTTCAAGATCTGTCTTCAAGTACAATGTTGTTAGTGATAGGATAATATCCATACACCTACAAGGAAAACCAGTTAATATGACTATTATTCAAATATATGCAGCAACCCCCAAAGCAAAAGATGAGGAAATTGATTTTTATCAACTTTTGCAGTCTGAAATGGACTGAACGTGCAATCAAGATGTGTTAATTATCACTGGTGACTGGAATGCAAAAGTTGGAAATGAGCAAGAATCACTGGTAGTTGGAAAATTTGGTCTTGGTGACAGAAATAATGCTGGAGATTGCATGATAGAATTTTGCAAGACCAACGAGTTATTCATTGCAAATACTTTTTTCAACAA